GTCTCTGACGTGGTGCTTTCCATCTACTTTTCTAAGTAGGATGGCTTGGGAAAGACCTTGCAATGAAAAACTCTATTGTTACAAATATAAATCTTCATGAAAAAAGGATAAAAGGTAGTTTTCTGCAAAGGCCACTCACCAGAGCCCTTTTCTTCATATACTTACCTTCCCACCTGCAGTATATTTATAGGCCTACTGCAGATACAGGCATTAGTGAGGGACATCCTACAGTCAAAAATACTCAGAAATACAGAGATTGAGTTACAGGCATAGAGCGTGAGATTCAACAAGTCCCATTTAAATAGTGTGCAGAAAATTATTGCCCAGTGAAGCATCGCAGCATCCCCTCAAAGGGATTGCACTGTAATGGCACTTTAAGCCAGAGATGCAAGTTTGCTTTTTGTAAATTTAAACACAGAATTATTTCCTGCAGACACCAGATTCAAGACAGTTCACAGCTCATTCTATAGCTACATTGCTTGTTTTCACCACACTACATCAAAAAAAAAAAAAAGGAATGTAATTGCAATCCTTTATCCAAAACCTAACTGTTAACAGATAGATAGATATGAAATGGACATTTTTCAATTACAATTTAGAAGATTAGATAAGAATGCTTAAGAATTTTTTTTATTATTTATTTATATTGTATGCTTGTCTTTCCTATTAATACTTTGACTTGGTTAAGAAGCAGGAAATATTTCAGCAACAGCTTGCAAAACAATTTATGAGTATATACCATTGATCCCATCTAGGAATCTAGTATAGGACTGTTGAGTAATATTGCATTTTAGCAAGCTCTAAATACTGGGAGAGAGAGAGAGCAACTTCACACCCTGTAGTCTATTAACCCAACTACGGAAACAAAGCTGATAAAACCAATTCTTTCAAGAATTCACAAGAAATACTCGTTCCATTAAATCAATTTCTGAAAAAGGTTATTAGTGGATATACAAGAACAGAGCCAGTATAAGGTAATGCTACCCCAATGTATCGTCTTAAGTTACACAAATCCATATTGTATAGACTCCCTGAGTAGGCATTACATCACAGTCAGACTGTGATATAAAGATTCTTTAATATACCTTAGTTTCTGATTACTCACAAAGTACAAAAGATTTCATATTAGCCCCTGGTGACAATATATAAAAAAAAATGGTTAGCTGTATAAATTAATGCTACACTAAATATCAAAATGTTGCTTGGTCACCAAAATGCATTTGTACATTACTTGAAGCAGCATCACGCTAAAGCAGAGATTTATGTGTAATTAAGAATGGTTTTATCAACAATGTTGCACTAAACTGTTGGGCAGGGCAATAAATCTGTATTCCAAAATGCTTAATGTTAATATACAAATACCAAAAGTACAACCAAAGTTTCAACATGTAATCTTATCAGGAATGACCTCAACAGCCAAGAAATGTTTTCGCGCTTTGTCCATGTACCTTTGAAACCACATGTTTAAGGATGGAAAACAAAGACTTTGAAAATACTCAAGTTTCCAAATAGATAGACCGGCTCATCAACCTCTGAAACAGTAGAGGCTTACCTATCACACTTTTGGCAAAAGAAGCTCGTTTCAGGGTTGCCAGACCAAGGTCTCCAATCTTGACTGATCCAGTAGGGCCAGTAATGAAGATATTGTCACATTTTAAGTCTCTATGAATGATGGGAGGAGTGCGTGTGTGTAGAAATTGCAAGCCTTTCAGTATCTGACGGCACCAGCTTCGTAGTACTTTAATTTTCATCACTTTAAATCTTTTCAAATACCTAATGAAAAAAATAGCAGTGGGTTAAACAGGTTCTGCTAACAAACAGTAGATTATGCTGTATCATTTGCTGTTTTGAAGTAAAAAGCAGTAATGAAACAGATGTACAAATTTCAACTTCACCTTTTATTTTAAAAGCTACCTGGACATTTCCAGACTTCAGAGGAGCTAGAGCTGATGCCCCGCCTAAAACCTACCCACTTTCTTCTAGCTAGGGGACTATAACGTTGAAAGATATATGTGAAATGCTTGATCTATAGCTAATAATTCATTTGCACAGAAAGTCACCCTATGGTAACTAAACAGTTGGCTTGCTAAGTTTCAAGGCACTGCTTCCCTGACAAAGAGTTAAAGGCTTATGCATTACAACAACTCTTTATCTGTTCATTTAAGAGGGTTTTTTTCTTCCCTTTTATCCTGAAACTGCTCAAATAATTATAACCTTTTCCTTGATGAAATATAACTGGGTGGGAAGGTGGGCACTATAGCCAAAACACTAATAACAACCAAGTACAGAACTGTTGCAATCTGTGAGAGCTCTGCAATCAGTATGGATAACTTTGACCAGGGTGCTTGGACTAATACTCGTAAGTAAGGTTATCACGCTACACTTTAAATCTGCTTCAAATTTACTTGTTATCAAGTGAATTAGAAATTCTTAGAGATCACTTTCCTGCTGCAGGACAGGGTTTGATCACCTGAATCTGACTGGTACTACTCACTACTTCAAACTAAGAAATGTAATGTTTATGCATAGATACGGATGGGGCAGAGAAATCTTTAAAAAGGTTCTGTCAAATAACTGACATGGAAGAGTTCATACATAAAGTTAGGATCCCTTTTCAGGTAGAATGTGACACAACCTTGATTATTCTAACACTGCTGCTTTTTAAAATCCCATGCCAGAAGAGTCAATTTTCATACCAGAACAAAATTTTTCAGTGCTTGTTACCCAAAACTGTGACCTTATTCTACTCCCTAATTTCTACAGATTAGAGATACCCCAAGGTGAATAACCTGTGACAGTGATCAAGTAAGTGCTTTCCAGCAGTGTATGTGTAGAACCTCTCTATGGGTGAATTTGAAGTGTTGTTTACTTCCCTTTGAAAAGTATGGGGTGAAACACACTTAGAGAAAGAAACTAGCATGCTGCGTAGAGCAAGCATGTTATTCAGAGGGTCTTACTGAAAGTCTCAGATAAAGAACAGTTTCACACTGCTACAAGACTGGTAGGAAATTCTGTGACCAGCATGAAGTCTACCAACTACAGTCTTAACATACAACCAAGTCATGTTCAATTATTCCATGTTTTCAGTCTCTTTTGCATATCCACTTAATCAGCAAAAAAGGTAGAGATTAAATGACTCGAATCAATGCCAACACAGAAATGTGGTATATTAAGGCCTTTTACTATTTTGCTCCAATTCAAAAGAATATCTGGAAAATCAAGTTGCTAGCAATAACACCACTGTGAAAACAGATCTGTAAAAGCAATCGGGACCCAGTCCCAGAAGGAAATAAAGTCTCAAAACAGAATGTAAAGACAAGCACGGAGAAAGCCAAGCGAAGGAAGGAGAGAAACTGAAGGAGGTTCTGAATCACATCAGCTACCACTTGAATTCTTGCTATTGACACAACCCTCATTCATCTCTGTTGAGTTTGTTCCAAAGATCACATGGTAGGGGCACTTCAGTTCAGCATCTGGAATCCTTAATTACATTCTTGGTTTCAAATATGTTAGTCTACTGCCAGCTTCTCACTATTAAAGGACCTGGGTCCAACCATCACACAGCATCCTGCAACGTTGCTGTTATTTTTCCATAACACTGTCATGAACTAAGTTAGGTCTCCCTCAAAAGATCCTTCTTAATCCAGTTCCCTCAGCCTCTCTTCACAGAGCAGTGACAGCAGCACTTTACCATCTTGGTGAGCTTCCACTTAACTTGCCCCTGTGAAATCAACAGTGTTGTCTATTTTAAAGGGGTAGTAATGATTTTCTAAAAAAAGACAGATATTTGATCTTTGCACAGACTACAAGCGAAGATGAGAACACAGAGCTTTCTTTATTAGCTTCAATGAACAGAGATGGAAACTAGAATTTGGCTGTCTCAAGGTTGGTTTTTTGTGGGATTGGTTTTTGAGGGTTTTGTTAAGCAGGAATGCTGCTGACCTATAGCATCTCAGCTCAAGGATCTACAGGGAACCCTGCTAAGTTAGTAGAAGTAGTTATGAAGATATGTGTCCTACTAGACAGCTGACACATTCATTTAAAGTGGATCAGGACCCATACTATAACAGCCTTGGACAGAACTAGTGCCTGAGACCTAGGTCAGATAGAAAATTGCTGCTTTCATTAACAGTATAATTAAAACTTAAAATAGGCAACTCCATTTTGGTTTTCCAAGATTTTAATTCCATGATAGCATAACAATGGCAGTTTAATTCTTTACAACAATTGAGTTGCAGTACTTTTGCACTGGTATGCAGAAAATCAGGGACTTCTCTTTGTGCAAAATTAGAAGTTTGTGCAGACAGCATTTGAAAAGATTGAGTCAATATTTTAACATTATGTGTGTGTATATATATCTAAATGTGTACAAATATGAAAATGCATGAGGAAAATTTTCTTTCAGATATCATCACACTTCTTCTGTTTACCTTTTTACATCAAGTGGCAACAATGTCTGCATCCCAAGTCTCAAAACAAGAAAGGCATCGCTTGCATTAAATGTAAGTAATGTAAACATACAAAAAGAGAGAAATGGAAGCAATACTCAGCCAAATATGAACAAACACAAGTGTGCAGTGTAAATGTAGGAATATGACACAAATACATGAAATACTTAATGATACTAAATTTGGCATATCAGAATTTTCCAATATAGTTTACCTGTCAAGACTCAAGTCACGTGGACAAGAATAAACTAAATCACAATTATAACCCAAACTATGAAATAGTGGGGAAAAAAACCCACCCAGAAGTTTACAGTTTAAAAGATGTTCTATTAAAGATCTTATGAGTTATTTCTGGATAAACTTCCATCCTTTAGAGTATAAAATAATCTTACAGACAACAAATCTGAGGTATTTCTTCCTACCAACACCCTGCATATAACTGTCTATTATTACCTTGTCATCTTGCTTATGCCACCACATAACAAGATCCAGATATTAAGATCGGGGCGGGGGGGGGAAGGGAAGGAGTAAAAAAGGGAGGGGGAAAAAAAAGGTTAAGTCTAACAGTATATATTCTAGCATAAAATTAGGTAACTTTAAATAAAGGCATCTGTACATAGCTGTAAAGCCTTTATGTTATTACTGGCTCTGGAAACAGCACATAAAGAGATACATTCTATCTGAAATACTTTAGCCAACCTCAGAAAAGCCTTCCCTGAACATGCAGCTAAAATAAAAAGTTGCAGTATCTTCAACGGCAACTTCCAGCGCTATTTCAAAAGGCAAACACTTCCCTGTAATTACAGGCCAGACTCCCAAAGTACCATTTTTGTCTTCTTTAAGTATGTCCATTTGAGGCTATCAATAAGCATCATAAAAAACACAAGACATTCACATACTATTTTAGCCAAATAGATTGCAAGTTGTTTCCAGCTCCTACAGCCTGCTTACACATTTAGAATTTGAATTCCTCTCCAAGACTTAAATGGGCACTGAATTAAGACAACGACTCACAATCCCTGAATTTCAGATGCCGGCAGTTTTATTTCCCGTAGATTAATGGTGACTGGATGCTGGTGAACACACTCATAGCCCTACAAGTTTCTACAGTGCAAGGCGAAAATGGAATGCAAGTATAACCCCCGCAGGCTCCACATACCACTAGAGGGCCCTCGCAGCAGCTCGATTTGCCGGTGTCTGCCTTCAACTCTGGCTTAGAGACAACTAGTTTCACTTAGCTAGTTTCCAGGTTGAAATTCCAAGCATTGGCATACTTTCAGATTTTTTTTTTTTTGTACTATTTCATGAAATTTCAGCTAAACAAACAGGCAGTGGTTTGTTGGTGTTGTTTTCTTTTACATATTATTTGTACTGTAGTAACATCCAAAATCTCTCAAAAGAGGTGAATTAATTCAGGCTTTGAACGTTACAAATCATCTCATGCTAATGGAAAGCAGCTGGAGCAGAAAATGAAAAGTTGTGAGAAGTGAAAATAGAGCACTGTCTTCCTGAACCCTTAAAACCTAAAAGTTTTCTGCATGTGTTTACTAGGACATCACAAGGAAGAATGTGACAAGCTTGCTAATTTAAAGGATGTTCTACTGAACTCTGCACAGCTAGCAAGACTCCTTTTAAACCAGAATTTCCCTACAGGAGGTTAGCCCTCAGCAAGAGGGCTCTCTTCTTACCTATTCTGAAATGTGATCTATTTTTAGTGCTCTGATTTTGTGCTAATGATTCTCATATGCTTTGACATTCCTTAATTTACTTACGTTTTCAATGTTCCAGATGTCATGAGTTCCGTCACAAGAACGATACACTTTTTTCCTTTCACTGTAGACTCCCAGGAATCATAGAACCTAACAATATTGGGATGCTGAAGCCCTTTCAGCATCCCAGCTTCTTCTTTAAATCTTTGACGCTCTGATTTGGACAGCTTCCGATCCTAATGAAAAAGAAAAGGTGTATCAGAAAGCTTTGCTTTATTTCTTACTCAGAGAAGCAGCAACTTGAACAACAGTTGGGTACAGTCAATGAACAAGTAAGAACTGGCAATCTTAAATACCATTTGGTTTGCAATTGCCCTGAAATACACTCATTTAGAAGACATTCTATTATAGTCTTTGTCATATTTTTCCTTACAATCTTGAGTGCTCTCAGAGGTAAGAATTGCAAGTCTGAGGATTATCCCCTCTCCCTGTTTCCTCTTCCCCTACTCTAATAAATCTAGTCATTGCCTGAGTTGATGTGGAAGGAGGACATAATGTCTTCAAATATTCAAGTGATCCACAATAGACAAAACTGGACTATTTAAAGCATCTCTCTCATGTTGTACATAATAACGTTTGGTCATTCCTATGTGTATAATATCCAGACCACTGGTAACAGATGGGATTAACCTTCCATATAGGGGGTAGAGCATAAAACGTCTCTAACACATACTATGAACTTATAACTGCAGAAGAACAAGCGATTAAGTTGGATTTTCTCTGATTAAAAGCACAACCTCATGATTGAGCAAGTTTCCTGTAATCTAGCATCAAGGAAAACATAACCATAACTCACACTAGAGACAGAAAGCAATCTTTTGGCCAGAGACAGACCATGAAAAAGCATTCCTAGACAATATTGTTTTATTATCTCCCAACAACTAGCTACCACATAGCATCAGGACTCTGAGCAGCTATTACCAGACTAAGCTGCACATCTCAAGAAAAAACAGTCTCCTCATGCCATTCACTTTTCTCAGCTTGCCAATGCACTGGCCACACCAGTCAGATTGACAGACTGACATAAATTGGATCTATATGCAGTTTGTTTTAAAAACTAAAACAAAAACGCCCAAACACGCAACATTTCAGGATATAATTAAAGCCCACAATTTTAGATTCATTGCTCCTAACAGTTATTTAGGAATAACCAGTGACCTCTTTGTCAAATCTGAATAATATTCCTAAGTAACTTGATTTCATATTTCCTTTTCACTTAAAGGAGGTAGTAAAACCATGCAGGGTTTACTTATACTGCTCACAACCTGCTACTATCCTCCAGGCAGTAATTTCTCTTCCTTAGTTTGCCGGTAATGTGTTTTCCCTATACCATTCAGCCAATACCTAAACCATCCTATACTCACTTAGATCATTAACTTTTTCTCAGAGGTTCACAGAGTATCTTTCCATATGGACAAACTTCATTTCCAGATGAAGCTCCAATTTTCAAGTGTAAAAGCCTTCCATGTGAAAGTTTGAGAACAGAGTTGAAACAATCTCAGGAATCACTACCTTACCAGTGCCTATGAACGTCAGCCACACACACACTTTCACAGTTCTTAGGAAGATGCTAAATTCTTCAGTCTCGCAAGTTTAGTCTCTAGACATCAAAAGCACTCAATCCTGCAACTGTTTCACTCTGCAGAAATTAGCACTCTTCTCACTCCTTCATAAACATACTCGCACAAACAAATTTTGAGATAACATGTTTGCAGAAACACTACACAAACATTTGAGTATCATGTCTGCCTAGCTGCTGGTTTGAGTTTTTTCAATACAGAAATAATGCTTCCATTTGCACTAATAGCTTTCCTTTCATTACAATAAATAGGGCAGCACAACTTCTGTTCAAAAGCAGCTCATCTTGACTCCTACAAGCAGCTGTGATACAGAAAAGCAGTGAGCTGCAACAGGCACATCAGTCAACAGAGCATACACACGTGCTTCTTAGAAACACTCCATGCTTCAAGCAATGCAAAAATCACAGTAATGTAACTATTCTTACAGTAAAATAAAGCAGTCTTCTCAGCCTCTGCACCTGATCCACATAATCCACATATTAAAACTAGTTATATATGGTTATTATAAAAACATGGCTCCAGCAATTACTTTTATATCACCTTTAAATTTAGCCATTTAATATGAACAGCTGCACTCATTTTTGTCCAAAACCTACATTTTAGATACATATTTGGATTAAATTTCCTTTATTTCATGCATTCTAATAAGTTATCTACCACAAACACTACTAACCTGTTTTAGACTATACCTGACATTAAGTTATCATCCTAATCTATGCAAACATAATCTCTCTTAAGGGTCTTACATCATTTTCCCTACCATTGTACTACTAACCCCAAATAGAATCTAACAAGTGCTAATCACTCTTATCAATGAGCAGACTCTTAACAGGCAAGCATATTTTGACTCATTTCCCTTTCTGGCCACATCCTGTTCCTGCACACATATCAGTGAGGTTTAAAACAGACACTCAACACTTCAGCACTGGCATTAGAGAAAACAAAAACAAAACACTAAGACAGTGACAACACACTGAGTAATTCAACACTTCTTTGAAAGTCACAGTGCCCTAATGATCTGGGACAAGCTTGGACACAAACATGGGCTAACAAATTTCACCTATGGAAGACAGCTACATTTTTGCAACTAAGGAAACATCACACCCTTCAGCGGCATACTGCAGCAGCAAACTGTAGCGGGAAAAGTTAAACAGAACTGTAAGGAAAAGGCAGAGAGGCCACTTGTTTCATAAGACTAGCAGCACATACTACCTTTAACTACCCTCATTTCCTTGGATACACAACCCATACACTCATCTGTAAGAGGGTGGGGTTTTTTTATATTCTTTCCCTAAAGGTGCACAATGCTAGGTAACAGAAAAGGATGAACATGCTTTAAAAACACATAACCCTAGCGTTCAGGAAAATATCAGATCTCACATACCGTTATACCAACAAAATTATCTGTATACACAATGACTGGTTATCCTCATACAAACTACCCTGTAATGCAACCTGTTAGGCTAACATGCCATTTAAAAACTACAAGTACACTTTCAAAACCTGAATATTCTGTGCACTAGAACCTTAAAACATACCAGACAGCAAGATCTGCCAGACTGCATAGAGATGGACTACATCAAAGCCCATCCCAAGTACTACATTTTGGCACCTTCTGAGCTTTTAGCATGGGCAAAATGTGACAGCTTTATGCTCTTTCTTGCACAAAGGTGCAATCTAAGCAAGTACTGAGATAAGCAAGGAAATAAAGCACTATATGTAATTTGGGAGTCTGAGAAATGGTGCTACCAGCCACATGAGGTATGAATACTTGAGGAAAGGCAGAGGAATGAAAACATCTTGGAATCACATGAAATTGCTGTATCGCAGAGCTGTGGCAGACAGAGAACAGCCATCACACTTAATGAGAATTTAGAAGAGCATTTTCCAAGAATTTGGGAAGGGGACAGGTTTCACAATCTTCAGTTTTAAGTGTGCACTCCAAGAGAATCAAAAGCCCAGCTGTGTCCTCCCAACAAGGCAGCTACCTGGGGCAATACTCAGATTCCAGTGGGGCCTTCAAGCAGGAGCCTGCAGGAATGCAAGACCCTCAACTCTATTTCCACCTCTAAAGAGGTAGCAAAAAGTTTATGACATCATTCCAAATAATTCTCCATTTGATTATCTCAAGAATTAATCAAACAGATCTATCCCCTGCAGCCTTCTTCCTGTAACTCACAGTCTAAATAGGTATGCAGATGGTTCATTTCAGCATGTTATTTGTTGGTTTCATCTGGAAGCAAAAATGGAAATTTCACAACTTAACATTCCTGTATCACAAAGTACAAGACTGGTTAAATAAATTTAATGTTTCCTTTTATTTTTATTTTAAAAATTAAACAACAAACTGAACAAAATAGACATCTAAGATGCTTTTCCATAAGCCTGGCAAACTTGAACAATTTTATAAAGAAACCACCACTTTAAGAACAGTTAATAATATATGGCTTGATATCCTATCCTTCAAAGATCAATTTGTCTTGGAACTCCTACTAATAAAATCAAAAAATGGACACCCTCTCTCCTCCCCCAGGCTTTATTTTACCATAGTGAAGCAACTTTAGGCAGACAAGATGAAGTCCTAATTCTGGAAGTTAGCAAATCACATTCTTGTACCTCAGTTACCACAAGCTGAGCAGATATAGCCCAAATATTTAAAAATATACAAAGCTGTCAAACTGTAGGAGAGCTTGCTTCCTAAAATGGATTTAACTATCCTATAAAATGGCCAGCATTGGTGTTCCTGAACTGAGAGCTTCCCTGGAGGACTCAAGTGTCACATCCTAATCACTGGGCTGCCCTTCGAACAAACCGAAACAGATGCATCAAGCCCACTCCGTTCATTTCATTCATTCCTTTCCACCTACATTAAATTGTTTTGACAAGCCAGGACAAACAGCAAGGCTTCCCAGCACGTGATTCGCTGTTCTGCAGTGCCAGGGGTCTGAATGGAGACAGGCAGCAAGTGAAGCAATTGTTCAGCTCAGAACAATTCAATAAGCTTTTCTTGGCTGTTTCAATTTATCCGTGCATTTCCCCTCCGATTGTTTTTTTTGGTCAGGAAAGAGCTATCAAAGGTGTTTACATTACACAAAGTAAAACAGGGATCTTGGTCATTCATGACCACGGTCATTACTTTTTCACTACTATACTTAACTTACACACAGAACTATTATTATTCTCTTTCTATCCCTATACATAGGTGCCTTGCATAAATGCAAGAAGAATCCCGACTCAAAACCACTCCTCGCCCCTAAGATTAGTTATTGTATCAAGCCACAAAAAAACAAAGCTCATCAGCAAAAAATGCCTATATTCCTTTGGCAAGTTCTTTCAGCCAAGGCTTAATGTCTATTCAGCGCCCTTAATGAGGAAAGAAAATACATTTCTGGCACCTAAATTAATCTTAAATTTCAGCTTGGTTACTCACATAGCTGTTAAGTCTATCAAGTAATGTCTCATTTGTTTAACTTTCTATAGTGCTTCAGAGTCCTGTCCTATTAACATTGTGACAAGAAATCCTGCATCTGCAAAGCACATCACAATACCACAAGTGGTTGCAGAGCCTAACTCAGACACCAGAAACAGCAGGAGAGCCATGTTAGCAAGGCATCAGACTCTGCTCTAGCCACTCAAGTCTGCTCTTCATTCAGACCAAGCTCAGCCAAGTCTCTTACCTCTGCTATCCATTTTTACTGACACCAAGTGGTCTGAGCTAAATTCTAGGACAATTCAACAGGCATTAAATGGACAGTTACACAGAAAAGACACACTGCATTTCATTCTCAAATACGTGCTACAGGATGCCAAGCAAGTGGGTAACAAAAGGAACACTCTACATGGAAGGAACTAGATCTTCTAACTGCTATATATCCTCAAACGTTATTTTCTGTTTCATGATATCAAGCACAATTAACATAGACAAAGTGGCAGAGAACCCTTATGCACAACGTAACAAACCTGACTCAAATCTGCCTATAGTCTCCAACTTCTACGAATAGGCAGACTCACAGGTGATAGAGGTCAACTTTAAACTGGATATTTAAAGAAAAAAAAGGCATGAGCTGCTATTCAACTTAGGGAGCTGTTTCCTCTTCCACACTATTAGGAAGATAATAAAGTGGAAACTAAGAAAGACTGGACACTTTACATACTACAGACAGGTTTTACTAGCTTTCTGCATATCCTACAGCTAGATTCAGAAATTCTACATAGCTAATGTTACAGGGACAGTTAGTTAGCGGGTTGTTGGTTTGATTTTTTTAAACTACAGTAGAGCAACACTATGTAGCTTTTATCCAAAGAGATGCACTAGAAATCACAATAGAAAAATTAGTACCAATGAACTGTCTTCAGGCGATGCAATCAGAAAGCATACAGCCATGAGACTTCAAAGTGCTGTTGAATTATAAACAGTCTGAATCACAACCATGGTAAATTATCTGTGCTGAGGTTACAGTAAGCAGCATTTCATCAAGCTTTTCAAATGTCTGAAAATTTGAGAGGAAGACACTGCTGCTCCCAGCCTGTTATTCAGAGGAAGAAGTAGCATACAGAACAGACAAATGTTCTTCTGTGTTCATTTCTGCAGCATATGAGAAAGGCTTTGCAAGCCTTTTAGGCAAGGTTAATGAGGGGTCATCAGAGGAGAAGCTAGCAAGACTGCACTCTGATATTCAGCACTGTTAATGGAACTGAGGCTTTGTGGGCTGCAGTGTTCTCATCCTGAAAAAATTTAGCAGTTTAGAGAAAAAAAAGAGCACAGTGACCATTGAGCTACATTAACAAAATACCAACAAAGAATCCACAGAGCTTAAAAATCATCCAACGTTACATAGTTAGTACCTAGAAATGGAAGACTCAGTAAGACCCACATCTACTTCTGCATCAACACAAACCTCTTCAGACTTTCCAGTGTCAAAGACTAGCAGAGAGAAAAAAGGAAGTGAAGGGGAAGTGACTGTTCAAAACACATCCCTGTACAGCCACAGAAATTGAAACTGATCAAGGATCTACACAGACGCCTCCACCAGTATACCTTTCTACATGGCACTGAACGCAAAAAAATGATTAAATGGAGCTGAACAGCTGTTGTTCCAGAAGTAAGCATGTAGGCTACACAACCCCACTTTTCCCAGCCACTCCTTGTAAGAGTTGAGCTATAGACCCTTCACCAGCTTCGTTGCTCTTCTTTGGACGTGCTCCAGCAATTCAATGTCTTCCATGCAGTGAGGGGCCCAAAACTTTTCAGCCCCTTTTCTCCTCATAGATTAAAAATGGAAGACAATGTTCCTGAGGATGGCTAGTGGAATAAAGTGCAATGCCAAGTTAACGCTTACTTACTGAAAGTAAAATTTTACACTGCTGCTTGGCAAGTCTCCACAACAAGAATCAATTTTATATAAGCTACAAACAGCCTTTGTGGAGTACAAAAACAACCTTAAGAATGAGAACACTCAAGTATAATATACACATCTAACACAATAGAAAAGATTAGGCTTAAAACAGTTGTGTATTACACTTTTTAAAGTTCCTAATTCAGGGGGAAGATTCTTTTGTAGGCTTCCTCTTACACAAGCTATTAAAAACGCTTTAATTTTCAGTAAAGTACACAAGTAGTCAACCTAAATGAAAGGCTGAAGGATTATTCACATTAGTTATACTGTTTCCTGGTGTACATCCTCTATTTTAATTTCTGGCATTTCAATACACAACAACAGTAGCACCGCACAAAATTTACCAGAAGATGCAGTTAGTTCACTAAAAATACATCAAGAATTTAAATTGTTTCTTGTCCTTTCTCTTACCATAGATACAGGGTAAGTGATACAGTGAACCATAAATCATAGCACGGCTTGGGCTGGAAGGCACCTTGAAGACCATCTAGTCCCAACCCCCCTGCCAAGGGCAGGGACACCTTCCACTAGACCAGGTTGCTCAAAGCCTTGTCCAACCTGGCCTTGATGGCAGCACCTCACGTGATCAAATGCATGCAAGCTTATTGCTGCTGCCCAAAGATTAGAATTAAGGAAACAAATTACATCTTGCAGAGATGATACTTGGGTAAACTGATGGCAGGAAGAAGAGGAACAAAGAAATGAAACTCTTAATGATTAGACAGAAGAATAGACAGAAGCCTTCATCAGTCAGGGTTTAGTCTGGAGAAGTCAATTACATATATCCTGAAAGAATCAATACTTGAGTAAACTTCAGAAAATAAGAAATACAAGTTTGTGTTAACACTGAAGAGGGAGTATCTGCAACTAAAGCCTATGCATGTGACAGAGATACCAGCATCACTCCCCATTTTATCCTGCCACTGTTTGTCAGTTTGGATGAAGCTATGATTCATCACCACAGGAGAAGGGGGAGAACACCACCAGTAATTACACCTCTCTAGTATGGTTGCTTCAGACTTTTACATAAGCAGCAGCACCTCTGCCAGCAATAGTAGTAGCAGCATCTAAGACACCTGGTGGCAGCAATGTTATAGACTTAACCTATGCTTGAAGACGCACCCTCAGCAAGTCTCCTGATAACAGAAAGGTCATCAGAACTGAAGTCTGTGCTTGCTTGCACCAAGTTCTAGCATCATTAAACACTAATGACCTGTACCTAGTCACAATCACATGGTCCTCCTAGGTCTTCAGCTAGAGAAAAAGTTGGCCAAATCTTCAAGTTTCCAGGATCCCATAATTCACAAGAACATTCAGTAGTAGACACAGCTAATACTGTTATTGCAGTAGGAAGCAGGCAGCAAGGAATAACTACAACATGCAAAACCAAACATGCTTTAAAAAAAAAAAAAACAACAACACAAAGGGTGGGGGGAGGTTAGGAACACTGTTAAACTCACTAACTTGGTGAGATACAAAGTCATTCTGCCTCACTTCCTCACATGGAACGAATGGCAGAAGCGGGATCAGAAGTGTAAGAAGCTCGCAAATAGAATGTGCAACACAAACCATTTCTGCTTCTCTGCAGGACAACAGTAGATCAGTATACTTGGTCTTTACATAAGGAACAAGACATTTTAAAGTAGGACTCCCAGTAACAAAGTTGATTTTTTGTTACAAGAGCAGTGTGGGAATTTCTTACATTCAGCAATGACAAAAAATTTGTACTTTGATGTAGCACTGCTACACCAGTGGGCTTCAAAACCATGCGCAATTCTAGATGGAAGGCACATGTTCCATGCTCACCAGAGACAGATAGATGCAAACATGTTGCTTAGAGACTGGGCAGTCAGCTGTACCTCAAGTTCCTCCTAAGGAGATAATGACAGAGAAGAGAAACTATACAAGTCCAAAAGGGCTATGCCAGCCAGAAGCCTGGCTGGCAGGCTTCTGAAGAATTCAGTCAGTGAAGATTACCATTAAAGCTGTGAGCAGCATGAATATGATGTACCTGGCAGTAAAACACCTCACTTTCCTGAGGAAAATTAAACATAAGTCAAATTGTACCACCTATAAATCTCTACCAGATTACCAGCTTGTTTTCCAGAGCTGTGTTGTGTGTGAACACACACACTGATACAAGTCTATATTACTCTCCCTACTGTCTCACAGCAGCACAAACATTCGTCCACAAAGTTGGCCAAACTGCAGAAATAAACCAAATTCATCTGCTTCTGCAGAAAACAATGACCAAGACTAATCAGTACACTGCCTAATCTCACAATTTCCTTTGAGAAACTTGCATTCATCAGAATACTGCCATGAAAACTTCATAGCAGCTTCAGAGTAAATTAAGAACTACATACATACTTTATCAAATCAATTATAGATTTTCCTTTGCTTTCCACACAACCAATAAAAGAAAAATTTTAAACAGTAGATATGAAATCTATAGTTTAGACATGATCTCTTCTGGAATCTCTCAGGTCCTCAGGAATCTGAACTAAGAATGGCAAGCAACTGTTTAGGCTTCAGTCATTTCTATTCTAGGGTTGCTCTAGGCAGCATCTGTGTTTCCTGACGCAGTCTGGAAAAGAAGATGGCTAAAAGTTTTATTCAATTTATTTATTCTGAGAGGTTGAACGTAAGGGACAGTAATCAAACTGGTGGGCTATACAAAAATAATCAGCATTAGAACAGAGAGCTCATCTACTTATTTTCACTTTAAAATTGCTATTTGATCCATGGAAGATAAATGTATATGTTTGCTATCTGATACCAGTTCACAAAAAGGCTTATGCTTATTACATACAGCTTATTAAAGAATTGAAGTGTTAGCTGAACTGAATTCATGATGAGCTATTAACCAGTTGGACCATCTTGTCACTTGGCTCAGATGCCTCATTAAAAGTTTTGAAGCTCATGTCAACTCTCATTTTGCACTGAATTGATTGCTTTGTCATTGAGAGCAAAGGTACAACCAATCACCTCAGTTTAATTTTACTATGAAAATCCAATTCTCTGTTCAGCAGATGACAGTATTGCAGGAAAAAGCCTCCTCCATGATCTATTCTGGTTACCTTACAGATTTATTGACTCATTGCATCAAAAGACCAACTGCGGCTCTTTTTATTTCGCATACTTCTGCATGACTGTAAGAGTCCTTTTATGAAAAGCTACATGTCCAGAACAGGGTGAACCCTTAACAGACTCTGATAAAGGCATATCAGTTTAGAGAATCAAAACCATGCTACAATACTTCATCCTATATACGTCACAAAGCTATTAGCAAAGGGTAAGAATTAACCCTTTGATGCGAAGTTGCATTGATGTGCTGGCTGGAAATCCATGCAGAAGGGTCAAGATGACTACAAAGATTCACTAATATCAATCAAAGTAGAAGATACACAAGGATTAGTAATGTTCCTGTGCCTCTCACAAGTTTCCTTGCAAAAATACCAGCATAAAGCCTAGAGGCAATAATCTTGAATGGTCTATGCTATTATTTAAGCAGCAGTCCCTGCAAGGCTGCCCTCTGCACTCTTCCAGTTGTAAAATGAGCTCACACCAGCCTATAGTGCATGCTAGCTTCAAGTTTACACACAAAATTGGAACATACATTGTGTATGCAGTTACTCTTCCCAGCTTTGCTTCTTTCTCTGCAAATACATCCAAAAGAAAGTACTTCATTTAATTTACAGAATTGTGGATTACTATCAGTTATGACAGGATGACATATGAAGTGTAGGCCAACTACCGGCAGCCAACAGAAAATCCTTACAGTAATCACTAGAGAACTCCAAGCCAACCATATCTTATTCAGAGACAGATTTCTCATTCAGAGATCCTTCAGGGATTAAACATAAACTCCTCAAATCATTACCAGGTGTTCTGCCCATTTTTTGCAAGAAACACAAAACAAAAAAGGGATCTCCTGTTTGGAAAGACTACAGAGTTCCAGAAACTACGAGTTTTATGGGGGGACCAAAATTTGCATTTTAGATGAAGTCTCAGTAATACCTTGCATAAATACTAGTATTAGTAGGAGCATTTCCAAACATGAGAGTCCTAAAACACACTGGAGGAGCACTTGGGTATTTTTAAGACTCACTTGATCAATAATGCCGTCTTCCTACAACCTACCAGAATGACCATCTTCATCTCAGGCTTCTCATAAAGGGAAGCAGTAATAATTTTTCTATGCTTACCTCATAGGTTGTCTTATGAAATCATTCTTGCACCACTAGTATGTTTATTGCAGACTTTCACAATGATACCATAGACATCAGAGACACTTATGTTTACAATGCATCATGTACATATTCCTTGACAAATACCATGTAAGATGTAGAAACGCTACTCACAGTCAAATATCTCAGACAATATCAAAGGCACCACTAATACGTAAATTTAGGAATACGCACATTATCTTTTACAGAGCAAGGAAACAGAGCATAGGGAGTCAGTGTAACTGAAATGCAGATTGAGAGACCAGTTTGCTCCTATTACCTAAAGCAACAAAAGATACAACACCTAAAAACAGCAAGTGGTTTGCTGTACAGGTAAAAATATGAACACCTCAGACATAAAAGGACTCTCTTCATAGAAGTTGTAGCAAGAAAAAATAAAAGGGTGGGGAACAAACCACAGAAACCCACACCCACACTTAAGCATTAGTTTGTCCTGCAAGAAAAGTCTTCAACATCCTTTGACAACTAAAATCCAGTGTTGTAACACAATGAAGATGAAGAGGGTAATCTTGAAGGTGATTCAAAGCTGACAGGGAAAAATGCTAGAGGAAGCTTAAGATGAATATTCAGGATCTTTTTTTTTGTGGAATTTGGGAACTACATATGGTAGTACTGCCATTGGCAAGGCTATTCTGTATTTAACAAAAAGGTTTTTTTCTCTGAAGAACACTAGTGGGATTATCCTGCACTGCCAGAAGACCAACCGTGACCTAGAAAATGTCAGATACTCACCACAACGTATCTAAGAATCAGCTATTCAAACTGATACAAGCTTATCAAAAAAATCTGTTCCTCACTACAGTGTGCTTTAGTCACATACTGTCTGTCCTTGGTCTGATGCCACTTTACTTGTTTGAACAGAACACTGAAGGAATTTCTTGAAGACAAACTGTAATAACTGAAGATGTCATGGTCCAGAGGGCCTACCTTAAATGGGTCATGACAATTTGTAAGCACACTTCCTTGTTTTCAATTTACCTCCTACTTTGTCACACTGAAGACCTTTACTTGCAGTTCAAAATTAATTTTAGCTGTGACCTAAAGTGCATCAAAAAAAAAAAAAGGCAAGATGCAAATAGTCATCCCATACAGCGAAATATCTGATGCTCTGTGCATCATATAGAAAATTTATTAGTTA